TGTATGGTGCTTTTTCAAAAAGCTGCAAATAGAAATACCATTTGAGCCACCAATTCCACTCCTGAGATTATATCCTAAAGAAACCAGAACTGCCACCTAAGCAGATAGCTGTACACCCATTTTTATTGCTGCTTTGTTCACAATAGCAAAGAGCTGGAAACAACCCAAGTGTCCATCAATAAATGAATGGATAGAAAAGCTGTGGTACAGTTACACAATGGAATATTATGCAGCACTGAAAAACAATGAATTCATGAAATATACAAAATGGGTGACCAGGGAGGACATTATGTTGAGTGAAATTTTTCAGGACAAATACTGCACAATGCCACTGTTATAAAACAGGACTGACATAGGGGTTTAGGGGAAACTAAGAAAAGAGGGGATAAATACTGTACATGGCATTGAAACAGACAAGGGAGATAACTGTATAAAAAGAATAAATGATTAGGTATTATTGGAACTACAAAAGTCCAGAATAAGAGCTAGTAAAGTGGACTGGAGAGGGAAGGGGAGGGCAGGGGAGGGGAGGGGAGGGAAGGGAAGGGAAGGGAGAGTGTGTGTGTGGGGTGTGGGGGGAATTGTGTAACAATGAGAGAATTCTTTTTTCTTTTCTAAGAGAAAAGCTAACATGGAAGGAGGGTTAGGCAGCGAGGAAAATGTGCAACAATGAATGAATGGAAATCCAAGTTCTCTATAAACTTTCATTAAAACATCAATACAAAATAAAAATTTTTTTAAAAGAATTCTTATCAGGGAAGTGATATATCTGATTTGTATTTTCCAAGAATCACTCCTACTGGGCTCGGAGAAAAGGTGGCCATAGAGCGGCAAGAGTGGATGTAATGAGACCAAGTTTAAGAGATCATGATAGTCACAGAGGTGACAGGAGGCAAGGTGGTAATAAATTGCGTGATTTGAGAAGTACTGAAGATAGAGCTGAAACGATATGCTGATAAATGATAGGCTGGCTCCAAGGCGATGACCCCTAGATTTGTGGCTGAGCATGTGCACAAATTGTGACTCCATTAGTTGAACTGTATACAAAGGAGTAACAACTTTGAGAAATCAAGGACTCCGTTGTTTTTTTGTTTGTTTGTTTTTGTTTTGTTGTTGTTTGATTTTTTTAAGTTGGATATATTCCTCAAATACCCAAGAGGCAGCTAGACAAATAAGTTAGAGGTCAAGAGATATTAAAACTAGGGATAAAATTTATGATGTTTCAGTGTAGAGATAGAACATAAAACTATGGGACCTGGTAATACACCCAAAGGCATCTCCTTTGATGTGAGTTCTGAGAGAAAAGAGAAGTGAGATGAGCACTGAGCTCCAAGTCCCTGCACCACAGAGATGAGAAGAGGAAGATGAGTTAGCTAAGAAAATTGAGCAGAGGAGGAAGAAACCCAGAAGCATACGACGTCTTGTATTAAACAACTGATAACCACAACTGAACAAAGAAGATAACATCTCCGTTCTACTGAGGAGCTTAGAAAGATTCAAGGCAGGTAAGCAAGTTGTTAAGAAAATAGTGTGATAAAGAGGGAAACTTTATTCAACTAAGATGCCCCTGATCTAGGACATGGTCTTTGCAATTACTAGCTAATGCACCAGAGAGCTTGACAATGACTAAAGATGGCAGAACAATAATAGATGTGTTTGTGCTGTGGTGCTAGAGAAGAGTACTGAACATACCAAGAGAACACACAGTTCTGGATTTGAGTGGGTGAAACCAAGTTGCTCTCTGGAGGCAAGGATTTTTGAAGCTCCATCTCACATACTTTGGGCATGTGACCAGGAGGGACTAGTCCTTGGAGAAGGACATCATGCTCAGAAAGGTGGAGGGACAGTGAAGGATAGGAAGACCCTGGATGAGATGGAGTGACAGTAACTGGGGTATTGGGGGTAGGAGTGTCGGAGTTGTTGAGACTGGATCAGGATAGGGCAGAGTTCAGAGCTATTGTACACAGAGTAGCTATAAGTCACAGATGACTTGATGGCACATAACAACAACAATGTGAACTGATAAATCTTTATCAAGACAAAAAATGTGCATGGAAATAAGTGCTACTTTGTTCTCCTGTCAAACCACACTATTTGTATTTCTTGACCTCTCTGCATCCATGTGGTACCATCACTTACCTGTAGGTCAAGTACATTCTCCTTGAATGAGAAACCATTTGCTCCCCAGCTGCCATTATTTGTGACTCACTGAGACTCCATGTGTTTGAGAGCTAAACTGTTCTCCACAGGGCCTTTCATGGCTGATTTTACAAAAGATTTCCAGGTCTGCCTTCCAAAGCATATCTTAGTAGACTTTCTAACCTTGTAATTAACAGCCAGACATGTAAATAATTTGCATCACACTTGAATGACTTGGATGCTGTACAACCAAAGTTGACTTTCCCTTATCACACGACAGCTCTGATATATACCTATTAGTTGTTGTTGTTGTTGCCAGAGCCAATTTTGATTCATAGTGACATTATGGATAGCAGAAGTGAACCCTGCCTCATCCTGCACCGTCACCACAATCTCTGTTATGCTTAAGCTTATTGCTGCAGTCACTGTGCCAATCCAACTCCTTAAAGGTCTTTCTTTTTTTCACTATCTTCATTTTTTCCAAGCATGATGTGTCCTTTCCCAAAGACTGGCCTTCCTTAGTAATGTACCTGAAGTCTCACCATCCCAGTTTCGAAGGAGCACTTAGGCTGAACTTCTTCCAGGACTGATTTGTCTGGTTTTCTGACAGTATTATTTTCCAACACCACAATTCAAAGCTATCACATCTTGTTCTTTACTATTCATTGTCCAACTTCATATCCATATGAATCAATTGTTATTGTTGTTAAATGCTGTTGAGTGGCAGGCGACTCACAGCAACCCTATGAAGGAGAGTCCTCAATGCTTGGGTATCTTTGATCCTCTCTCCAGGTTCAGAGGGTTTCCTCCTTCCAAGCTTGTTTTAATCAGGGAGCTCCACCCCACTCTCTGTCTGCACTGGGTAGCCAACCATTAACGCATTTGACAAATCAGTGTCACAGTGTTCAGCCTCACAGCAACCACAAGTTACCACTGTATGGCAACTTGTACACCAGGGCTACCCATACAAAAATACCAGGGACTGGCACAGGTTCACCTGGGTCTTTAAAGTGATATCCTTGCTTTTCAGTACTTTTCAGTATTGCTAGAGTATATTAAAAGAATTGCTTCAGGGACAAGAAGTCAACAGTAGTAAAACATATTCACTCACTCACTCTTAGTAACATGTGATAAAATCAGTTCAATAAGAACTTAACAAATTATGTACTTATCACAGCTTCTATCATTCAATAATTCATAGGTCTAACATACAGGTTATTATTTAATCAGCATCTTAAATACTGAATGACTAGCTCATAGTAGGTACTCAATAAATAGATTTTTAGAATAAAGATACACTTTTAGAATTTTTAAATAAACTCTACAATTTGGGATTAAATTTTTTAATGCTACTCATAAAATATCTGGCCAGAACCAAAGGGAGAGAAATCATCTAAATGCACAATGATTGAGTTTGTCAGTTTTTAAAATCCTTTAGTAACCTAAACTTATGCAATTTGATTTTCTTATCATTGCTTTCCCTATACTATCGAAAAATGATGCTTTCTTTACAATTTCAAGCTCATCATAAAATTGCTAAAAATCTAAAATTCAATTTGCCACATTACTGCTAATTTGAATAATGGCTGAATAAAGCACAGGAAACGCTGAAGCAGCATTGATTTCTAAAACATTTTGCACTTTCCTCCTCCATCCCCGTAAAGTAAAGCTCGGATGCTACGCACAATTACACAAGAAAATCAAGAAAGCCATTACATTCAGCATTTTGTCATGATCATTGTTACCATGGCAAAAAGTGGTCTTAGTTTAGTGCAGCTGCTACAAGCAAGGTCTGCTGGCCTTTTGTAAAGCTGAGTAACAATATAATGCCAAATTCTGTAGTCTGCCACTGTTTTTCCCAGGACAAGGCTATTGTTCACAGATGCTACTAATTCCTTTAATGATCTGAGTCAATGTCATCTTATTTTTGTGTTCTTACTGTTAGCTAGTGACCAAGAGACACAGTTAATCTAAAAAGGTTACCACTTGACCCACCTTCTCTTCTGAGGGGAAAAATCTGGGTGTGGCAACCTGGGACAGCAATAATAGGAAAAGTCAAAGTTTTGACAACTATACTGTAAATAACAAGACTACCGTGCTGGAAATACCATGGTTTGAGAATGACAGAGACAAATGTAGTCACATGGTACCTAACTGTACATTATTTTCTCTTTGCACATCAGTTTAGTTATCTATAAAATGGGGAGCAAAGTCACTTTCTTGCTGTTGTGAGGATTAACAATTTTCAGGACAGCACAGTGTAGAGGAAGGTTCAGATCTGTTATTCATAGAGTCAGTATGGGTCCTAGTTGACTAGATGGCACCTAACAATAACAAAAACAGGAACACATAGATGCTTTGAGCATCTATAATCTATCATTATTTCAATACCACCCTTGTCTTATTGCTTTGATTTCCATGCTTTCAGGAATGTTCACAGAAATTGGTAGGTATCTTTTTCTCCTGTTAGAAGGCAAGTGCTTTTCATCTTTCACATTGTTATGATACTTGAAATATTTCTTTAATATGGTAAGCATAAATTTCACATCAAAAGGATTAAAAAATTCAGTGCCAGTGTCATAACATATTCCACATCCTATTTTCCTTACTTTAACTAATACCATGAAAAATCAAGTATATACTAATTTTGAACTTATGCAGAGATTTTTAGTTTTAAAAAATGAAGCCGCATTATGATACCAGAGAAGTTTAAATTACCTGAAATGAACACATAAATCAAGGCACTGTATTTAGTAGAAACAAAAGCTACTAGCATTTTTACCAGCTAAACAAAATATTTTTTTCTAATGAGATTTCAGCTGAGTATCGTTTATCTTAAGAGAAAAATAATGGGACCTTACCTATTCCAGTAGCTCCAGAACTGGTCATGCAGGTAGGCGTGGTGGCTACATTCATCACCAAATGAGGCTTTGCTTTCAATCCAGTGAATTATGTGCCCTTCTACAGCTAAGGGACAAAGCATTACTAATATACAGAGAAGGCAAGAGAAGATTGAAAATTCTGAACTCTGCACAGGCCTTTCCATGCTTCCCATTAATGAGCAGAGGTTTAGCTTAGCCACCATCTATGGATGTAATTATAAAACAATGCTCTGTGCATGTATGTATGCATGCATGGGTGTGGAAATGTTCATTAGAAGGAATATTTATGGTATAATCATAAACCTCTCATTTTCATTATCTTCTTTTCAAGAGTCCTTTTCCTAGTTCTAAGACTGCCTGTGTAACTTGACAAGTGCCATGTCAAACAGACCAAAGTGAGCCTGGCTGCTCAACCGAACCATGCTTTACAAATTCAATATTTAGAGAAATGACTCGAAAATGGCAGCCAAAATGTCTTCGGGTGCCATTTCCATTTCTCGATTATACGTAAAAGTTTTAAAATAGAGATTTCTTACGGATCAATTATTTTCTGCTTTTAGATCTTTTCAAACAATTTTACCCATTTGAAGGTAGATAGTTATAAGGCAAATCTACTCTAGTCACATTTGCTACTATTACCATATTAATAATGAATGTAAATAAATATAGAAAAACATATCCCTCTTCTTGATAAATATGTAAAAGAGTTTCAGGACTTACCAACTGGTACTTGTAAAATAAAGTCTGGTGTTTTGTCATAACCCTTGGCTCGCAGCTGATCTTCATCTAGAAGAACAAACACTATTTCTTAGAACAGTATTCCATTAACAAGAGAGCAATCTAATTGCTTTTCTTCCTTTAAAAATGTGTAAAAATTCCTAAGACAGTCATACATATCTTTCTGATGTATGCATAAATATCCTTCTTCTGTATTTCAGAACAAATGAACTTTCTTAGCAAACCTGAATCATCCACATTAAAGTGTTTCTTCGTCCCTTTTGCATTTTTATGTCTTTATTATAAACATCATTAATTAAATCTGTCATATGCTACCAATTTTTCATAATTGAAAATACCAAAATAAAGAACCAGACACACTTAACTGGTTGAAAGAAAAGGCTTTCCCATTAAGATTATTACTAATCTTGGCAATTACAGTAAGGCATAAGCACAGTGGCCTGAAAAGTTATGAAACAAATGTTTTCATTAAAGCTGTTAAGAAAGTTTAGTTTCAATTAGTGAAACTATGCTCAGATCCAGGACAGGGACAAGGACAGTGAGATCACAGAGAAGATGAATTACCCAGCTGGATTCCTAGGGTATCCAATTGTTCCTTGCATTTGACCAAAGGAATTTTACAATTAACAATATGTAATTCCAAAAGGCAAACAGGCTTTAAGACATTTTTATGTCTGTTTTATTTCTTGCTCCTCAATAAGCATCCACTGGAAGCGGGAAACCACAGTAAACTGGGCAAAGCTGTTAAAAAAGCAAGACCCAAAAAACCCAAACAAAAACTAGAAATATGGTTGGTTTTAAAAAACAAAACAAAAAACTCAAACACCAAAACCAACAACCACACAACAAAACTCCAATAATTTCTAAAAGCTGTCCTTGGCTTCTAATGGCTTTACAATGTGATTTCTGAAATGGGGAGTTCTCCATTAGATTCTGGAGTGACCTGGTCATTCAATTCCAGACATGGCTCTCTGTCTTCACCCAACCTCAACTAATGGCCCAACCATGTAACAAGGAAGGCTGTGTAGTCTCTTAACACCTACTGGGCTGTTGACATTGTCATGCATCCCATTCGCCTTCCTGCATCACCTTTGATTAAAATTAATGGCCCATTCCCGGTGTTGGGTAGCTTATTTCCAATCCATTTGTCAGCCCAAGACAGTGGTTTCATGGCCAATGTTCAGAAACTCTGTTTTAGAACACTCTTGTGTACATCTCGAAAGGTCAGCATTTTCACACAAGTAAATCTTTAATGACAAATCACATGTATAAACTAGATATTTAAATTAAATGCTGTTAAAATTGGTATCTGTAAACCATTCAAATTTTGGAAGATGCCAAAACTCTGAACACTCTCCTTTCTTTAACTCCAAATACAAACACATTTTAAGTTCATTATTAAGACAATGAAATAAAAATGCAAGTCTCTTAGAAACAAGAGAATTTGGAAATCTGGACAAACAAGACTATAAAAATTTCTAACCTCAAACTGCGTTCTGACCACAGTTAAGAATGCTGAATGGAAAGATCTTTATTAAAACCAACTCAAATGCCTGGAACTGATGCTTCAGGAGACTTATAAACACTTTCAAAAGTTGGTTTGACATTAAAAAAGGTAGATTAATATTTTATTAGCACTGTCCTAGCTAGACCAACCTTTGAAGGTGCTAAAAATCTGTGTTAGAAAGAAAATAAATGTTTGTTTCTGACAGGAATGCAAAACAAAATTTCAAAGGTCACCAAACAATCCAAATTTGCACACTAAAGTCCCTTTAAAAGGTGGACACAACATGCATGTCTACTGCACCAAAATTACTAAAACAATAGCTAGAGTTTAAATTTCATGACTTAGTTAATGTAAGCGTGCCCCTGCGTGCTCTCTCTCTCTCCTTGAAAATGGAATATATATCAAGTGAGATAAAGAATCTTTACATCTTTCAGCTGTACTTGGAGAATTTGGTTGTACATTCACCTCTAAGTTGTACCAGGAGGATCTCAAAGTACAATTAAAATCCTCCCCACCCTACCCCCTACATTCATCTTCTCTCTTGTATTCAGTAAAAGTTGATATAAATATAAATGCTTCCAAAGGCTAGACTCTAAAAATCTATGTCACCATCTGTGGTATTATTTATTATAATAGGCTTTCTGCATTTCTGAAATACTATGTATTGATTGTATCTCTTTTCTTTATATCCTTAGCAGTCACTGCTATTCTTCCTTCTATTTCAAACTCACATTGTTTTATTCATATTAGAATTTCTAAAAAAGGAGAAGGGAGTAATCAAAGGTCAGAAGAAACTATAAGGGGATATTATAATAAGGAGAAGCACATATGAACAGGTGGCCTTGTTCGAATGGTTTACTTCTATAACTGATCACCGTAAGATTTTGAGGGTAAATCTCCTTTATCTGACCTAATTTCTTGGTCTTTGCACGGTGTTCTTCTCTTGTCTTTGAGAACCTGAAAGATTTGTCACCACAACAACATTATTTAAACTGTTCTCTGTGGATTTTAAAATTTGCTTTATGTCAGGGTTTCAAGACCAGAGTCTTGAGGCATATGTACCTCAGTAGTGTGCCTATAACAACTTCCCTTCTGTCTTATTCTTTCATTATAAAGTTTATTTTATTTTTTGCCTTATTCTTTATTTATTCTTTTAAAATTATTATTATACTAGTTTATTTACAAAATTAGACTACATTGTTTTCCAGAACCGATTCTTCCAATTTCCCTCATCTCCCCCATCAAATTGTACAATCTCATGATTTATTCCCCCTCCCCATGCACATCCTCATCCCTGTGCTTCCGCCTTCTCCCTTCACCTTGGATCCTTATACTCATTCTACAATAATGGTTTTATACAATATCTGTCCTTGTGGGATTTAGTTCACTCAGCATAAGGCTCTACAGTCCCTTCCATGTTAGGTAATAATTTACAAAATCATTGCTTCTGCATGCTGTTTATTGACATTATTATACCCTGTGCATGTGCCTGTCTCCCAGACAACGGACCCGGTACCAATGCTCTGAGGACAAAAAATGACTCTTGTTACTCTTATTCATTGCCCTGCTTTCCCCAAGAACGATATGTTTTGCATGTTCATATTAACAAGAACTGCAGCCTTCAATATGGATTGAAACTCAAAGATTCTCACCATTGGGCCAACTGGCAGCATCATTATGGATGGTGAAGAGATTGAGATTGTTAACAGTTTTAGTTTTCTTGGCTCCACAATCAGCACTGTTGGTACCAGCAGTCAGGAAATCAAGAGATGAACTGCATTGGGAAAGTCAGCTGTCAGGGACCTCTCCAGAGTACTGAAGTACAACAATGTGAGGCTGGAGACTAAGGAGTGCGCCTGATCCAGGCCATAGTCTTCACAATTGCGTGCTATGTGTCAGAGAGCTGAACAGTGACTAGGGATGATAGAGAATTGATGCCTTTGAGCTGTGGTGCCAGAGAAGAGTGTTGAATATACCATGGACTGCTAGGAGAACAAACAGGTTTGTCCTGGAGAGGGTGAAACCAGGCTGCTCCTTGGAGGCAAGGAATCTGAAGCTTTGTCTGACATACTTTGGGCATGCTGCAAGGAGGGACCAGTCCTTGGAGAGGGATTTCATGTGTGGGAGGGTGGAGGGACAGTGCAGGAGAGGAAGACCCTCAATGAGATGGATTGATTCAGTGATTGGTATAAGGGGAGTAGGTGTGTCAGAGACAATGAGGTTGGCACAGGATAGAGGAGAATTTAGGGCTCTTGTACATAGGGTTGCTATGAGTTGTAGGTGACTCGATGGCACATAACAACAACAACAATAACAACAACAACAGCAACAACTATGTAACAAGCGTATTTTAAAAGATATTTTGTTCTTCAAAGAAGTCTATCTATACTGGATAAAAAAATAATTTCCTGATTCAACTCAGAATTCATCAGCAAGACACAGAAGTTGAAGGTTTTATTTGTCAGTACTCTCTCCGTTCTTTCATTCTTGGTTCCAATCATTTTCCTTCACTCTTGGGTCCAATCATTTGCTTGACATTGTCCTTAAAGTTTATTCTGATTACAAAAGAAATTAGTTCATGTGCAACAATGAATGAATGGAATCCCAAAATCTCTGCAGATGTTCATTGAAATGAGAAATAAACAACATAAATTTAAAAAAAAGAAATTAGTTCATCCTTTTCCTTCATATTTATAGAATTTTTTAATTTAAAAAATTATAGAATACTTTTGCTACTTTTTCTTTAATCTGTATTATTTTAACAAACACTGAGTTTATATTTTTCTTCAAGTTTTGGTAGAATTCTTCATAAAAACCAATATGGGACTGGTCTTTTTTTGGGGTAGTTCTATAGATATTTTTCTATTTTCTTCTTGAAGAAGAGTGGTGAAAATTCCATGGATTCCCTAAGGGACAAACACATATGTCTTGGAAGAGGAGCAGTCAGAGTGCTTGTTGAAGGAAAGGATAGTGAAATTTCATCTTACTTAGGTTGGGGATGTTGTTAGGTCAGTGCTTGGAAAAGGACATAATGCTAAGAAAGGTGTAGGTTCAGTGAAGGAGGGGGATACCATTAATGAGATGGAGTGACACAGTAACAACAACGGTGGGCATGAGCGTGTCAGGAATGATGAGGGTGGCACAGCACAGGGGCAGGCTTCAGATCCATTGTTCATAGGGTCACTAGGAGTTATAATCGCCTTGATAACATGAAACAATAGCAGTTCATCTGTTTAGCTTTTCTACCTCTTCTGTTGTCCATTTTGCTAATCTACATATTCCTTGAAAATTATATACTTTACCTTTAACATATTTGCGCTAAATAGCTACTAATTACTCTTTGGTATTTCCAAGTAGGAAACTAGATGTCAGTTCATCTCATTAAGGGTCTTTCTCTCTTTTGTTGACCTTTCATCTATCATAGCATGATATCCTTTTCCAAAGAACATCCTTTTCTAGTAGCATGCCCAAAGTATGTGAGACAAATTTTGCCTCCTTGTCTCTGAGGCTGTATCTTCTCTAAGATAGACCTCTTTGTGTT